TTTTTTTTTTTTTTTTTTTTTTTTTTTTTTTCGGAGATAAAGTCAAGAAAATGTCTTCTTCAGTTAGAAATAACTAAAGCTGACACTTCTTCCCGTTTTGGGTCTGTGTGTTTTCCCAATCTTCAGATATTCGTCGAGATGTGTTGGGCACAATTGACAGAGTCCAGTATGGAGTTGTACGCGTGGTCCACCAATATTGCGGCCGAAAAATACTGCAAACATCTGGAATTCATTTTAGTTGTGTAGGTTACTTATTATTTGTACTGAGACAAGCATTTGCAAAAATACGTTTCTCACTGCTTGAAATTCACAACTTGCTAAATCACGAGGTGAATATAATTATTATTCAATGTTTTTTTTTGACACATGTTTCATAACGTGCAACCATAACTCTGAATGGGAAATTCAAGATGTGCAGGTTTCTAAAGGAGGAACGCCATTGAGCTGAAAAGTTGTAAAGGGATAAAACTTTTTAAAGTTTGAAAAATTTCTGTCTTATCAGGATGAGAACTCTGCTAGCTCTTTAATACTTGATGACGTAACGTAAAAACGTTAATATGTCGAGGGTGCTTAATCAAATACTGGCACCGTTTTGGCCAAAGATGCAGCGAAATGCTATAATAGCGCCTCTTTAAATCGACTCTCAACAGAGACAATAAAATCCTCGTTCACTCCAACCTCGCCCGTGGCCAATACATTGGTTTTCACATTTTTCGGCCTGCACATGCCTAGTCATATTTGCTCTGAAAACGCAGAGCTAGCTGGCTTTTCCACCCGAGAATAAATACCAAATTGGTAGAAAATTTGCACCTAGCCTAGGGTGATTTCTTTGTATGTTTTGGTGTGTACAGAGTGAAAGTCATCTTTCTACCTTACGTACTGACTCGATCATCTGACGGATAATCGGATTTAAGGCGTCTCGATACAGCAGACATGTATTATAAAAAATACAAATGCCAAAGCATTTTGCCGTGTTCTACAGGTATTCAAGTAAGGAGCAATGATCAACGCTTTTATCATCTTACCGTACAATTCCACATCTTCAATCGCACTCTCTGCAAAGAGAGAGAAAGATAGACAAGGAGGAAGAGGCGGGTCATGTTAAATCGCATTTCAAAGTATAATTACAAGCTTGCTGGTCTTTTAATGAGTTTATCGCTTTGCATTCAGGTAAACTTCTCAAACTTTTCCAAATCATTTTTCCTTTGGAGCGTCTGCGAACAGAAAAGTGCAGTTGAAAAGGATGCTAGTATCGACGGTTTGAAAATAGAAATGCCACATGCAGAGCAATTATCTTCGTAATTAGCTGCTAAATTTCGTTTATCCAGGTACATGTCGATATACTATATTACCTGTCTTAGTTGAATGGCAAATGTATAGTGTTGTTTTATTAAAGAGATAATTAAATTAACTTTACCAATCGTCTATTGTAACTGAGAAGGTTGCAAGAATGCAATGAAAAGAAACGTTCAGAGAGGTATCTACAAAGAACGTTTCAAATCCATAACTGCATAATGAAAAATCTCATACCTTGAGAAACGACGCAAACCCCCAAAAGAAGAACTGCAATGAACCAAATCTTTGAACCCATGTCTCCGAGAGATAAGCAGGGCTCCAGATCTGAGAAACACCATGCAGAATTCCCCTTTTATGCATTTGGAACGCAAAAGAAGTGTCAAATAATACAGGTAATTGCCAGGTAATTGCCATTATACTGTCTGTATAGACATCACATTAAGCTAATGATCGTCTAATATCAACCGTGGACTATCTCTTTAAGAGCTTTAATATCTGCAAATCACTCACGCAGTTTCGCCAGATAATTTTTAGTCTAAAGATAGCTCCAAATATGTGTTAAAAGTTTAAATTGGTCTGCCGAGTCATCTCCAACATACACGTTAAACTTCAATCTAAACTCAAAACTCATTTTTTAAAGAAAACTTATTATTCTTAGCGATTTTTACTTTCTATTACTTTCTTAAATGTACATTTTTAATTATTAAGATTAGTACAGCTCATTTTGGCGAATTGTACAGCGCCTAGAGCAGGCATGGATAGGCGCTATATAAATATTTATTTATTATTATAAGAACTTTACTCGGGACATCGGGGTAAAAGTTTGAAAGATCTCAGGGACATCATCCGTATTCTGCTTCCGATTCCGTTCGTTCTATTTTCATAAGATCATATCACTTTGCGCTTCTGATTACGACTCCAACTGCGACTTCGTCGGCGACGGAAATCAACCTTAAGGTAGCTTGGTCCCCCATCACCTTTACACTTCCCAAATAGGTTTTGCGTGGCATCTGGTTAACTGTGCTGTTTTAATTCGTCGATTGAACTGGATTTTTAAAGTACAGAGTGCAAAATACGAGGAGACATTCAGTTTCTTATCATTCATTATAATCCATCAAGTATTTTCGTTCGCACGCGATTGGTCTAAACGCGTCACGTGACCTAATATGCCCCAGCTAGAACTGAGGAATATCCGAGTGATATTCCCCAATTTCTAACAAATCCCGCGTGTTGCAAAACTAAGCTTGAAGGATAATAAACACAAGAGCCTCCATTTACTTTAAAAAATATGCTTAGATATTTGTCCTTGGACATTATCTGTTTTTCGAAGCTCGCCGTTTTCCTCAAACTTCGCTCTCGGAAAACTGTTCCCTTCTCAGAACAGACAATGTCCTCAAACAAATATCCGAGCATATTTTTGCGCCAAATGGAGGCTATTGTTTATATTGTAGTATCGGTGGACAAATCAGGAATATCCTACATCGCAGTGTATACCAGTATGTCGTGATATCAAGAGAAAATGAATTAACCCTCAATTTCTCTTGGTGGTATTCAAGATGGCATTTCACTACCCTTGAACGCATTACAGCACACAATCGCTCTAACAAAAACGGGAGTAGAAAACCGAAAAAAAAATATTAGAAGTAAAATGTTAAAGCCAGATTTAAAATAGTCTTAGAGAATCTTTAGTCAGTTTAATTATAGCATAGCATTTCGTTCTACATCTTCAGCCCATAATATCTCTAGCACCCTCTGTATTTTCCATACAGCAAAAAAAAAAAACATTATTAAAATGTACTTAGCAAGTACCATAATAGCCCTTTTCACGGTTAACTGTTCTTATTTGCATTCCAGTATAATCTAGCATGCATGTGAGGAAATTTCGGGTTATTTTGTAGTTTGAACCCGAAATTGTCTCGCGTCAACGTTGGATTACATTGTAATGCAGATTAGAAAAGTTAATCGTGAAAAGCGCTATAAGGAACAAAAAATGTGCACCAAATCAGTTTTCGGGAAAACAGTGTTTGGAAAACACGAATCACAAACGGATGTACCCCGCACAAAGCATAGTTAATAGAAGGGAATGGTTATGAAACTCGACAAAGTTCTGTGTTGTTTTTGTTCTCTTTTTTGACCTTGACAATGTGCAAAACACAATAGTTGTTTACTACTTACCGAGGAACCAACCAATAGAAATGTTTTGATTACGTAACTCATGCATTGTGTATGAACGCAAAACAAAAGATTGTGCACGGTCGTGGACATTCCAACATATATCTTACCATCTTCGTTTGCTCCTTTGATGTTTGCCGGGCTTCATAACCAATCCCCTCCATTAACTATGCACGAAGTAATTAAACCGAAGATAGTGTCGTGAAAAACAAACACCAAACCAAGTGAAACAATATTGAGACAACTCCCTTGATAACGGCGTCTTGGCGACGCGGAGGGCAAAGTTGTTTAAAAAAACAAATTTATATTTTGTTTACAAAACACGCGAATCTCGTAGTCAAAACATCTCGAAACTGAATATGGAACACAGCGTTACATTCGAAATAGATATTGAAAAAACTAGTCGTTGTGGTTCCTGTTCTCCAGAGAACGCGGAATTTAGTCTTTTACGAATTTAATACTTGTTTACAGAAATGTATGTTAATTCTTTAGATCTATAGGTGACTTTTAGGGTTAGGGCGCTTAAACTGAATCTTAAGCGTTAGCGCCAATACCTGTTTATTGTGTCGTGCAATATTTCAAATTTGTCGGTTTTATCTCCAAAATATCGAATATGAATGGTGCCGAATAATCATTAGCGAGCATCGTAGAGTCTTTATTTCATTAATTTAAGAACTTTGTTTGGCAGGCATTCCATGCATACAAATCTCAAACTTAGTTGAAAAAAATATGGGCAATTAAAATATAGGGTATTATTACCATGATTATTACTATCAAACGATGAGCACAGTATATTTCAATGTCCATGGACTTTAATGTCTTGAAAGTAAAGAAGGTATTGTGACATTCCTGAAAAACGATTCGTCAATAAAATTGCTTGCTCTTTTTGCTACAGGTATATACATGGCAGTTCAAGAACTTACGCGGAAAGGCTAGTCCTAGGGCGTTCTCAGCCTAAGGGAGTCTGGGACAAAAGAGAATTCGCCTGGGAACCAGACTAGTTTGAAGTAATTTGAATAATAAACTAGTCACTTGTAGCTCGATATCTTGGGTGCAATGTGTTTTAAATTATTTATGTGCGGCTGTCAAAGTGGGATGGGATTTGATGGCAGATACCGCTTATATTAATAATTGAAGCAGAGCGGAAAGAAAAACATTTCAGTCTAAACCTTATTTATGCTCGACTTATCGAATAAAGCGAGTATAGTGGCCTTATAACCGAACTAAACGAAACCGTAGCAGATTTTGTGAGTTCTATGAATATCGATGGTTCGTGATCGCTTACCAGCAAACTTATCCTCACATGAACGCATTACCCAAATTGGTTTCTCTTTCATCAAATCAAGTGTAATATCAAAGTTAAATATTAGGTGGGGTCGAGACACATTAGATGTTGGTGCACATATTTGTATTTACTGTCTTCATTGATCAATGCCACCTGAAACGGTATTGCATAATGGGAATAACATTATTTGAATTTGTATTGACGAAACAGATACAAATCTGCAAAGTAAGATTGTGTAATAGTGGGGCGAATTGCACTTGGAACGCCTGGAACGTGTGGTAAAGTAGCATAATGTATCTAGGAATCTCCACGAAGAGACAGTGAAACGCCTGCAAATCAAGTATGATATCAAATTTCAAATAAACAAATCAAGTGTTATGTCAAAGTCATATATTATATAGTGTCGAGAGACATTAGACTTTGGTGTACAAATTTGTCTTCATTGTTTTTTATCAATGTCACGTGCAGCGATATCGAATAGAGTGGTTTTCAATTGAGTGTCGAAGATAATCAGGCAATTACTTTGGTTTTGGTTTTGGTTTTACGACGCTCACTTCAAAACCGCTCTAATGGCAGCGAATTGTGCTTTGAACGTGTGATAGAGTAGCCATAATGCAGGAATCGTCATGAAGAGACGGTGAAACGCGCTCTGAATTACAATAGAAAAAGAAAAGATGTCAGAGTTTGGTGGCATAGAATCAACAAGCAGCGTATAAAATCAAAACCTTTGCCTGACAATTGTTAAATTACCCGCAATTGCAACCCAAACAATCATTTATTTGACTGAAAAAAAATTGACTGTATTTCAATGGTAATTAAATATCCAAGCCTCGTTTTAAAAAGATGTGTCAGTTGTGGCATTGTGAATTTTCTGTTGAAACCAGTCACATATGATTGAGCTTCAGTGTTAGAGCGGTTTTCCATAGGGCGTCGAAAGAAATTACTGCAGTGCCGTAGCATGGGGAGGGGCGAGGACACGCCCCCCCCCCCCCCCCCCCCCCCCCC